CTGAGGCTCTCGCTCTGGTGAAGTCGGAGCTGCAGAAGAGACACACGTGTACAGACCTGGGTGAACTGCGCAGCTACCTTGGCTTGCAGATCACCCGGGACAGAGCACGCCGCACCATCACACTAACTCAGTCACACATGGTGCAGCAGGTACTTCAGCGCTTCAACTTCTCCTGGTCCTCGCCATAGCCCACTCCTCTGGCTACAGGCCACTCGCTCTCAGCTCCACCTTCTGACGAGTCCGTAGAGCCGAGTGGCCCATACCTAGAGCTAGTGGGCTGCCTCATGTACCTCATGACCTGCACTCGACCTGACCTTGCGTACCCTCTTGGCCTTCTGGCTCGCTACGTGGCTCCTGGTCAGCACTGAAAGGTGCACATGGATGCTGCGAAGAGGGTACTGCGCTACTTGTGCGGTACATCAGGCATGGGGCTCGTGCTTGGAGGGCGTAGCGCAGTTGTCCTCACTGGGCACTTAAACGCTTCTTGGGTTGACGTCCAGGCTACGCAGCGGTCGTCACAGGGTTACCCCTTCAGCCTTGGCCCTGGTTCAGTTTCTTGGCGTTCTACACACTCGTCTTCTGTTCTCAGCTCGAGTTGTGAGGCTGAGATCTATGCCACAGCCATGGCTGCACAGGAGTTACGCTGGCTTATCTACCTGCTGACCGACCTGGGAGAGCGGCCTCGTTCTCCTCCAGTTCAATACGTAGACAACAAGGCCGCCTTTGCCTTGTCTCAGGAGCACAGACTGGAGCACAGAACGAAGCACATCGCTCTGCGTTACTTCCTGGCTCGAGAGTTGCAGCAGCGGGATCAGCTTCGCCTTGCTCACGTGGCCACTCGGGCCAACACTGCTGATATATTCACCAAGGCACTTCCGTCTGGTGACCATCAGCGCTTTTGTACTTTGTTGGGCCTTGTGCATACGTTTCCACACTTGCTGTAGTCTCTGCTTGTACCGTGATCTATATATATACTTGCATGCTTGCTTTTGCTAGGTAGAGATCACTGTGCTGTTCTTGTTGCTTATATTCCTGTGCATGTGGACTGGCCTTGTGGCCGTTTGCTTGTGCTCAGTGTGTGTGGCAATGTTGTGATCCGCCTTGAGCTGTGTTTTTTTTCTTCTCTTGACTGGTCTTATGACCATTGCTTGCTCTGGCTATCCCCCATTTTGCCTATGGGGGTGTGTCAAAACATATGCATATTAGTATCTAGGCTATATAGGGGCTAGGGTACAGAAACATTCTCGACACTCTAGTCTTGTACCCCATCCTTGATCAATCACATCATTCCTGCCTAAGTCTTGACACATTTCCCTCCACCCACGTTTCTCGATTTTCAAACAGAATTCTGACATCCCCCCTTAACTGCATGCAGGAAGATCCAAGTGAAAGACACATCCTGCAGGGGTACACCAAGCAAAACAAAGCAGCAGCACGCAAGAGCAGTGACAACCAGTGGAGTAATCGCAGATACAGCTGTAGTAAGCCCTGAGGCAAAAGAGAAACAGACAACAGTAGGTGCATGTGGCGTAGGGCGCCTGGAGAGCAGGTGCGTGCGGCGGCGACGTGCGGCGGCACAGCAGGGCTCAACAGCAGCACCTGCCGTTGAGCACCAGCAGAAAGACGAAACAAATGAAGGTGGCGACAGGGGCTGCAGCAGTAGGTGCCACGGTAGCAGCGGGCGGCAACTGCAGATGCCTAGCTGACTTCCGCCACCATCTCACCCTCCCCCCCACGACGGCATGCGCAGCAGTGAGAAAGAGAGGAGGAGGGGCGGCTATTGGCTCGGCTGAATCTCTCTCTCCACTCCCTCACACTCTCTCCCTTTCCCCTCACCCTCCCCTCCGCAACCTCTCCCCCCCCTCAAGGCGGACCCCGCGGAAGGGGGGGGGGGGTGGGGGGGGGGGGGGGGGGCGTGGGCTGCCGCTGGCGCTGGCGTCGGCGCTGGCGCCGGGCGCTTGCGTCGGCGCTGGCGCCCGCGTTGGCGCCTGGCGCTGGCGCTGGCGTCGGGCGCTGACGTCCTCGACGGCGTCGTGCGCAGGTGTCCGCGTTGGCGGTCGTCGCTGTTCGCTGGAGCTCGCAGCTGGCGCTCGACGCTGGCGGCCCGCGGAGCGACGGAGGGCCGCGGGGCGCGACGGACGGGCAGGGCGCAGCAGGGGGCGCGACGGACGGGTAGGGCGCAGCGGGGGGCGCGACGGACGGGCAGGGCGCAGTAGGGGGCGCGACGGACGGGCAGGGCGCACGGGGCGCGACGGACGGGCAGGGCGCTCGGGGCGCATGATGTAGGGGGCCGCGCCCAACTTGCTGTCGCACTCTTAGTTGAGGCCGCTACGACCGTCAAAACTAAGGGCGCGAAGAAGAGCGTGACGAAGGGCGTGACGAGTGCCATACGTGGAGAAATCGGTGGGCCCATTAGAAACGAAACCACTCTAATACCATGTCAAAGTAGTAGATAGAACTTAGTAGCCATAGCTAGGGTTTGGGGTAGGAGGGGAGGAGCATGTCGAGAGAGTTTAGCCAAAGAGAGGTTTCACTATAGCAAACAAGGAACATATAGGTGAGAGAACGAGAACAGAGGTACACCACCAAGCAGGAAAGTAAGATAACTACACTACATGCAGTTAAAACAATATAATTCTGACAGAACAAGGCTGATTTGATTTGATCTCAAATTGTCAAGCAGCACAACTTGGGTATGACTAACAGTAAAAAATAAAACTGAAACTATATTAGAATCCACTTTGCTATTCTGCCTCATTCCCCCGGAAGTCAGAGAAAATTCTTTGATTTGCCCAAAAAACTCTGAAATTTCAGCCTTTTTTCTTAGTAAACTCTGAAAGTTCAGAGTTTTTTTTTGTTGTGAGCTCTGAATATTCAGAAAATTATTTTAAGCCGTGTCTGAAATTATTTTAACCCTTTTCTCAGAGTGTACTCTGATTCATGAACGTTTTAGCGGGTACCTACTCTCATTATGCCTGTTGGAAATGACGAAGACGATTCCTAGCAGCTTCGGAGGTGTTCACCAAGTCAAACCTACTTTTCAGCGTCGCTTCAAATCCTTCCCATGTCGTCGGAACCGTGGTAACACCCAAACTAAACTCCCTAAGCTCGAGGTTGCAGCTGCATGCCCCACGCCCTGTTGATGCCCGTCTGTCTGAGCCCTTCTTACAGCAGTTTGCGTGAGTTGGCGCCACCACTCCAAGGCCGGGCCCCTCAGCAGCGTAACGGAGTACTCGATCCGCTGCTGCGCGTCCGCCTCTTGCACCCCGCTCGCGGCGAAGTAGTTGTTCAGCATGAAGAGCCACGTCCGCACGTTTGCGTCGCGTTGACTTGGGTCGAACGACTCGGGTTTCTGCGGCTTGAGTGCGCTTTGACGTTCCGGCAGCGCTTCCGCGCCAGTCGACATGTTGGGTGCAGGAGATGGTGCGGCCTGACCATGAGAAATTGACGCGAATTCACGAAGCTGTTGCATTTCAGCTCGTACCTGACGATTTTCCAGCGTCGGCGCATGAGTTGAGCAAGCACATTGCCCATGTCGTTGGGGAGAGCGTTCATGGTCTCGTCCATGTTGGGTCGACGACTCCAAATCTGCAAGTCGGCACCGCGGGACGATGACGTCGTAGTCTCGTCGTCGACGGTCGCTCGTTGGAAGTTTCTCCCCACGAAGGCTCCTGATACCAAGTGTTAGGCCCCTTGGCCTAAATCCGCTGAAGATTAGCGGGGTCGACCAAGTCGAGGATGAATGCGTGGCGCAAGACTTTGGCGAAAGAGAGTGTTGGCAAAATAGGCGAAGAAGTAACAGTGGTTGAAGAGTGGAATGAGAATTGATTGATATTGGTGGATACAAGCAAGGATGATATAGCATGCAAGGTCGAATGTCGGAAAGTAATTCGTGGGACTAGAAAGTAGAAGCAAGAAAGGTAGAGTGCCACGTGGCACTAGGAAATTTGAAAAGATAAGGATAAGGATGGGGTTGGGAGTACTATTCGAAGGGAACAGTACCGTAATACCCCGGATATAAGTGTCAAACTTATATGCTATGGTCTATCTAGGCTGTAGTGGGGTAGACACTATAGGGTACAACATTTCTAGGTTTCCTACTTGTACCCACCTGCTTGCTAGTTCGTTCATTCCTCATTTCTTCACATGGTATAGAGCAGGTTCCCTAGTGGGAACGCTTCTCAGGGCCCACCACTGAAATCGACATTTTTTTCCTGACCGGAGCGCGAGTCGCCCCTGCCCGAGGCGCGCCCCGTTGGCCGCCCTCACATCGCGTCCCCTGCCCTTAGTGGCCTGTCGCGCCCTCCTAGAGGCCCCTCTCACAGCCCCTTGCGCCACCCTTAGCGGCCCCGTCGCCACCCCTTACGGCCCCATCGCCGTCCTTTGCGGCCCCGTCGCCGCCCCTCTAAGACCCTCGCGGCCCCTTCGCGGCCCCGTCGCCGCCCCTCTAGGCCCCTCGCAGCCCCTTCGTGGCCCCGTCGCCGCCCCTAGTGGCCCCGTCGCCGCCCTTCGAGGCCCCTCGCGGCCCCTTTGCGGCCCCGTCGCCGCCCCTAGCGGCCCCGTCGCCGCCCTTCGCGGCCCCGTCGCCGCCCTTCGCGGCCCCGTCGCCGCCCCTAACGGCCCCGTCCCCGCCCTTCGTGGCCCCGTCGCCGCCTCTAGCGGCCCCGTCGCCGCCTCTAGCGGCCCCGTCGCCGCCCTTCACGGCCCCTTCAGCCGCCAACCAGCCGAGCCGCCGAGCTACCGAGCCGCCGAGCCGCCGAGCCGCCAAGCCGCCGAACCGCCGAGCCGCCGAGCCGCCCAACAGCCGAGCTGCCTAGCAGCCGAGCCGCCGAGCCACCGTGCCGAGCCACCGAGCCGCCGAGCCGCCGAGGCCGCCGTCGAGCCGCCACTACCGAGCCCCTGCCGCTGAGCCGCCGTCGAGCTGCTACTGTTCCTACCAGCGCGACCCGGCCCTACCCACCCGGACTGGTGAGAGCACTCCCTGCTAGACCACTGCTGTCATGGCTACCCCCAGTGTCCTTACCTTTGATGCTGAGGGTCGTGCTGTTGACTTTGAGGTCTGGGTCGATGACCTCCAGCTCTTCCTATAGTGCGATAGGGCAGACTGACTCTCCCTGTTGGATCTCACCTCAGGTGCCTCTCCTGCCCCGCCTGTTGATGCTGACAACACTGTTCGCTCACAGTGGGCCACACGCGATGCTGCTGCCCGTCTTGCTGTGCGTCGCCACTTACCGACCACTGAGCGTGCGCACTTTAGTCAGTACAAGAGTGCTAAGACCTTGTACGACGCTGTAGTTGCACGCTACTCTTCCCCTGCCACTGCTGCTCTTAGCCGCCTCATGCTGCCGTACCTATTCCTTGACCTTGCTGCCTTTCCCACAGTCGCTGACCTCATTACGCACCTTCGCACTAGTGACACTCGCTACCGCGCTGCGCTTCCTGCTGAGTTCTGTGCCAAGAACCCTCCCCCTATGTACATCACCCTCTACTACATAGTCACCCGGCTCCCTTCGCTTAGTCAGGGACCACTTCCTCTCAGTTTGCCCCACCACACTCACCGTTGACCTCCTCGAGGAGCGCCTCCTGGCAGTAGAGAAGAGCATAGTCGCTGTAGGAGCCTCTCGTGGTGACCCCCGTACCCCCGTCTTTTAGGGGTGTTCCCCCTCCCCCCTCTTGCCCTCTGTTGCTTCTGCTGCTGCGGCCGACCTCGTTGGCTTCGAGTCGGTCGGCGCTGCGTCTACCCCTAGCGGGAGACCCCGCACCGGCAAGGGCAAGAGGGGCAAGGGCGCTGGAGGGGCTGGCGGGGGCGGTGGAGGTGGCGGTGGAGGCAGTGGAGGGGGTGGGGGTGGTGGTGGGAGTGGTGGCGGGGGTGGAGGTGTCGGTGGCAGCAGTGGAGGCGGAGGAGGCGGCGGCGGTGGCGGTGGGAGCGGAGGCGGCGGAGGTGGCGGAGGCGGCGGCGGCGGCGGTGGAGCTGGACGCGGCTCTACGCAGAGGAGTGGCTCCGGGGGTGGTGGTCCGTGCCAGCTGCAGCAGCGCACTCGTGAGACCCCGTCCCCCCAGCAGCTTCGTGAGTGGTACGCTGGGCGTCAGCGAGGTGGGGGTACTAGTCCCTGTACCTACGTCCTCCGTACTGGCGACCGCGCTGGTGAGCAGTGCGTGGGCTCGCACTCCACCCAGCGCTGCTTCGGCCGCCTGACGGACGCTTGGCGTCACCAGTTCCCTGAGGCCACTGAGATCCCTCGCTGGGGAGAGCTGTCTAGGGCGGGGGTTGCTATCTTTGATCTTGACTATGATGCTATTCTTGCTCCAATGTATGCTGTGTCTAATAGTGATGAGGGTGAGTGTTACCTGTGTGTTCCGCCTGACCCGGGCATTGAGGCTGCTGCTCTAGGTGCTGGTGAGGCTGCTGCTCTAGGCGCTAGTGCGTCTGCTGCCCCAGGCGTGGCATCACCAGTTCCCTGACGCCAACGAGATCCCTCGCTGGGGAGAGCTGTCTAGGGCGGGGGTTGCTATCTTTGATCTTGATTATGATGCTATTCTTGCTGCCATGTATGCTGTTTCTGCTAGTGATGAGGGTGACTGTTACCTGTCTGTTCCGCCTGGCCCGGGCATTGAGGCTACTGCTCTAGGTACTGGTGAGACTGCTGCTCTAGGTGCTAGTGCGTCTGCTGCCCCAGGTGCTGGTGAGTCTGCTCTCTCAGGTTCCACGTCGGCTCAGGCCTTACACACCTTCACCCTTGACTCGGGTGCTTCCCGCTCCTTCTTTCAAGACCGCACCACGCTTACGCCGCTTTCTCGGCCGGTTGCGGTCTCCCTGGCGGACCCCTTTGGGGGTCCTCTCCTTGCTCGCTTCTCCACTGTCTTACCGTGTCCGGCAGCCCCCTCTGGCACCCTGTCAGGTCTCTACCTCCCCTCGTTCTCTACGAACTTGGTGAGTGGTGCTGATCTACAGGATGGGGGGGTTGACCAGTTCACTTCTGCGAGTCAGCGGGTGACCCACTGTACGTGTGCTCGGACGGACCGACACTCGGCCACGTTTACGCGTCGGCCGGGGTCGAGCCTGTACAGAATGACTACTGAGTCTCCTCCGGTTGTTGAGTCAGGTTCGGTAGCTCCGTCGAATCAGGTGTTTGCTGCAGCGTCCAGGTCTGGTCCTGAGTCTGCTCCCTGCTCGTGTCGTCTCCTGTCCCACCAGACTCTCCTTTGGCACCACCGCCTTGGTCACCCCTCCCTGCCTCGTCTCCGAGGCATGGCCTTCCGTGTCCTTGTCTCTGGTCTCCCCCGGTCCCTCCCTCTTCTCCCTCCGGGGCCTGCCCCTACCTGCGTTCCCTATGTCGAGGGGCGGCAGAGCGCCGCCCATCACTCCTCCGAGTTTCCTTCGACAGAGGCTCCTCTGCCGACTCTTCACATGGACGTCTGGGGCCCCGCCCGCGTCCGTGGCCAGGGTCACGAGCGTTACTTCCTGTTGGTGGTTGACAACTACTCGCGTTACACCACAGTCTTCCCCTTGCGCAGCAAGGGTGACGTCACTGCGGTGTTGATCGACTCGATCAGCGCGACTCGTCTCCAGCTCAGAGAGAGTTTCGGCTCGGACTTTCCTGTTCTGCGTCTGCACTCTGACAGAGGCGGGGAGTAATCCTCTGCCCGTCTAGGAGCCTTCTGTCGTGCACAGGGCATCCGCGAGACCTTCACGCTTCCGGCCTCTCCACAGCAAAATGTGATTGCCATGCGGCTGCTCCCCATTTTCTGTTGCCGTTTGCAGTTCAGTACGCAGCGCATCAGCTCAATCTTCAGCCCCGGGTCTCCTTGCCAAAGACCTCCCCCACCTTGCGGTGGACGGGGAAGGTTGGCGATGCGTCTGCGTTTCGTGTCTGGGGATCTCGGGCGTTTGTCCGCGACTTGTCTGCGGACAAGCTGTCCCCCCGTGCTGTTCCTTGCGTCTTCCTTGGCTTCCCCCTTGACGCGCCTGGTTGGCAGTTTTACCACCCCACCTCGTGGCGTGTTCTGTCCTCTCAGGACGTCACCTTTGACGAGTCGGTGCCTTACTACCGTCTCTTCCCCTACCGCACTGCGCCCCTCCCCCCGCCGCCGCTCTTCCTTGCACCAGGTCCTCCCCCGGTAGACCCTCTCCCCCCTCAGGGTCCTACCCCGTCAGGTGTGTCCCAGGTAGACGCAATGGAGCCTGTCAAGGTAGCTGTTGACTCTGGTGCTGCTAGGGGTGCTGAGCCTGCGGGTGCCGGGTCTGGGGGTGCTGAGCGTGGGGGTGCGGAGCCTTGGGATGCTGAGTCTAGGGGTGCTGAGACTGCGGGTGCCGGGTCTGGGGGTGCTGAGCGTGAAGGTGCGTAGCGTGGGGGTGCTGAGCCTGGGGGTGCGGAGCCAGGGGGTGCGGAGCCTGGGGGTGCTGGGTCTGCTCGTGTGGCCTCTCGCGGTGCTTCGTCGAGGCGAGAGCCACCCTCTCCGCAGAAGCTGCACGATTGGTTTGCCCGGCGCTGTAGCCGTGCTGCTGGAGGTGGAGGTGCTAGTGTTGCTGCTGGTCCTGGAGGTGCTCGTACTGGCGGTACTGGAGCTGCTCGGACTGGGGGTGCTGCTGGGGCTACTGGAGTTGGTCCTGCAGGAGGTAGTGCTGGAGCTGCTGGCGGTACTGGAGCTGACGGTCTTGCTGGATCTGGAGCTGCTGGAGCTGGAGCAGCTGGGGGTGTTGGCGCTGGAGGTGCTGCTGGCGCTGGTACTTCTAAGGGTGCTGGAGTTGGCGCTGTTGGAGCTGGAGGTGCTGGTGGCGCTGGTGCTGCCGCTGGGGGTACTGGTGCTGTCCCTGCTGGTTCTGGAGGCGAAGCGCGGCCGTGGCCGTACTTTGTTCCGCTCCTTCAGTAGGTTCTCGGTCTCACGCCCTCTACTGGTCGTGCTTTTCCCTTAGAGTGTCCACAGCCTGTCCAGTCGCGGTCATAGTTACAACCCGCCTCCCCCCTGCCTGCTCCTTCTCCCTACACTGGTCCTACTGGAGGTCTTGCTGAGCGTCGTGAGCCTGCATCTCGTCCTGCGTCACCTGTTCGTGCTGCTCGCACTAGCAGTCGTGCTCCGCGTCCGCGTCCTCCTGCGGTCCTTGGCACACACCAGATGGCATTGCGTCCTTCCACTGCTCCTCTGCGTGTCCCGTTGCCGTCTCCTCCAGAGTCCTCTCTTCCTGCCCTTGCTGACCCGGAGTCTGACTCTCTTCGTGCTGCCAGTCCTACTGTCACGCGTCTCCTGGCTACTGTTGTCACTAACCCTTCCTTTGACTCCAGTGCTGCGTTTGCCTTGGTTGCTGAGCTTGTCGACTTTGCTGCTCGCTCTCATCTAGAGTACGCTGCTAGTCTTGTTGCTGAGTCTGAGTCTGTCTGTCCTCTGTCCGTCGGGGGTGAGTGTGCTCTTAGCACGGACGTCCTTGAGGACAGGCAGGAGGAGTTCCAGTGTTTTGCTGCTGCTTTGCCTCATCTCGTGTCCACGTTGATTGCTCCTGAGGGAGACCCGGATGCACCAGACATCGCGACTCCTCGATCGTACGCTGAGGCGATCGAGGGTCCCTACTCCTCACAGTGGCAGTCAGCCATGGACGCAGAGATGGCTTCCTGGAAGTCCACAGGCACTTACGTCAACGAGGTTCCCCCACCTGGGGCGAACATCGTCAGTGGCATGTGGATTTTCAGGGTGAAGCGGCCGTCGGGTTCTCCGCCTGTCTTCAAGGCGCGTTACGTGGCTCGAGGCTTCAGTCAGCGGCAGGGAGTTGACTACTTTCAGACCTTCTCTCCCACCCCGAAGATGACCACTCTTCGGGTGCTGCTGCACATAGCCGCTCAGCGCGACTACGAGCTTCACTCTCTTGACTTCAGCACAGCGTTCCTGCAGGGCAGCCTGCACGAGGAGATCTGGCTGCGCCGCCCACGTGGCTTCACTGGGTCGTTTCCCCCTAGTACCCAGTGGAGCCTCCGGCGGCCAGTCTACGGTCTCCGCCAGGCGCCCCGTGAGTGGCACGACACACTGAGGACTACACTTGCGGCTCTTGGCTTTGCTCCTTCTACTGCCGACCCATCGCTGTTTGTGCGCACCGACTCCTCTTTGCCGCCGTTCTACATCCTCGTGTACGTCGACGACTTGGTCTTTGCCACTACTGACACTGCTGGACTCGCCCACGTGAAGTCTGAGCTGCAGAAGAGACACACGTGCACAGACCTGGGTGAACTGCGCAGCTACCTTGGCTTGCAGATCACACGGGACAGAGCACAACGCACCATTACCCTGACTCAGTCACACATGGTGCAGCAGGTCCTTCAGCGCTTCGACTTCACGTACTCCTCGCCTCAGGCCACTCCTCTGTCTACTCGCCACTCGCTCTCAGCTCTGCCTTCGGATGAGTCCGTAGAGTCGAGTGGCCCGTACCCAGAGCTTGTTGGCTGCCTCATGTACCTGATGACCTGCACACGACCTGACCTTGCATGCCCTCTTAGCATCTTGGCACGCTATGTTGCTCCTGGGAGACACCGACCAGAGCACATGGCTGCAGCGAAGAGGGTGTTGCGCTACTTGTGCAGTACGTCGGGCATGGGGCTAGTGCTTGGAGGGCGACGTCGAGTGGTCCTCACAGGTCACGCAGACGCTTCTTGGGCTGACGACCAGGCTCCGCAGCGGTCGTCACAGGGTTACACCTTCATCATTGGTTCCGGCTCTGTTTCGTGGCGGTCTACCCGCTCGTCTTCTGTTCTCGGCTCCAACTGTGAGGCTGAGATCTACGCGGGGGCCATGGCTGCATAGGAGCTACGCTGGCTCACCTACTTGCTGACTGACCTAGGAGCGCCGCCTCGTTCTCCTCCAGTTCTGTACGTAGACAACAAGGCCATGCTGGCCTTGTGTCGGGAGCACAGACTGGAGCACAGAACGAAGCACATTGCTCTTCGCTACTTCCTTGCTCGTGAGCTGCAGCAGCGTGGTCAGCTGTGCCTTGCTTACGTGGCCTCTGAGGCCAACACTGTTGATATCTTTACCAAGGCACTTCCGCCTTGTGATCATCAGCGCTTCTGTACGATGCTAGGTCTTGTGCCTACTTGGCCTCACTTGCTCAATTCTTGACCTTTCTTGTACTGTGATCTTTCTATATCTGCACTTGCTTGTTTACCTTTATATATGATCTTGCATGTGAACTGGCCTTGTGGCCTTGAACTTGTGCTCGAAATGTGTGGTGACGTTGTGATCCACCCTGAGCTTGCTTTGGTTTGCTTGACTGGTCTTGTGACCTCTTGTTCTCCCCCACTTTGCCTATGGGGGTGTGTCAAACTTATATGCTATGGTCTATCTAGGCTGTAGTGGGGTAGACACTATAGGGTACAACATTTCTAGGTTTCCTACTTCTACCCATCTGCTTGCTAGTTCATTCATTCCTCATTTCTTCACAATAAGCGCATCTGCGTTTATAATAAAACACTGTTTTTTAGGGGGGTGCGCTTATAAATGAGTCATAATGATATGCGCACTGCGCTTATGTAATGAAAAACACAAGAATATGTTATAAACACACCAAACTGTGCATCTGAGTCTTGCAATCTCATTCAAATCGAAATGTGTGGAGCCTTCTGAATCAGAATGGCGCGAGGGCGATTCTCTGCCGGCGCATAAGGGCAAGGATACGTCACTTTCGCATAGGAATGTGTCATGCTTGCCCCAGCCCAGGGTACGAACCAATAGCTTGCAGTCGCTCGTTCGCATCGTACAGGCTTGCCCCAGTGTACGACCAATGGCCTGCAGTCGCTCGCTCGCAGCGCACAGACAACAGTTGTTCCCGAGCCCCCCTGACGTCTCACCCCCACTATCGTTTCCTCTCTTCCACCGCCCTATTTGCACTTCTACACATTTCCTGCTTCAACTCGCCCATCTCTTCCACGCTCCTGTCCCACATACCCGTTTCCCCCCTTCCCCTCCCACCCTTTTTGGTGCGTGCTCAGCTCTTGGCAGCTCTCTGTTGCACTGATGATCTATTTCATTCCCTCTCCTCTGCACCCTCGCTTTCCCCCTCCCCACCTACCTCTTCCCTTTGAACTCTCCCATCCCTTCGTTGCTCCCATACCGTGCAGTTAGGAGCAGAGCTGATGCACTCGCTGATCTTGGCCGCCATCGAGTGTGTGCACAACGCTGAGGGGGAAGGGGGGGAGGGGGGGTGAGCAGCACGAAGACAATCTTGGCCGCACCTGTGCTAAGCACCCTGCATAGGAGCAAAGGGATGATGGCGTACCGCCCTAAAACATGTGGTTGCAATTGTCTGTAGGAAAAAAATGAGATAGCCTTTTATTTTCAATGACACTGATGTTCCAGCTTTTTTTTCTAGGTAACTCTGATTTTCCAGCGATTTTTTTTTTTGCTAAGACTGATTCATCAGCCTACATTTGTGTACCAATGCTGATGAATCAGCCAACCTCAAAACAAATCTGAGGCCCTGCCCAGCTTTAAGTCTGACATTTCAGATTATTTTATTAGACTAAAAATGTGCACCAAGTCTGACAAATCCGACAGCCCAAAAACGAATCTGAGGGCCTGTTCGGCCCCCTGTAGGGGCTTGCTTGGCCTTGGCCTTACAAAACTCAAGAACTACAACTGCTAATTCCTGATGCATCCATTCACTACCACAGCAGCAGTGTGGCTTCAAGTCGCAGCAGCTCTACGCTCGCTCGCTTCGTGTCCGCCGCCACACACAGCAATTCTCATGTCCTTCATCCAATCCAATCCGTTTCCCACATCCTCAGCACCACAGCAGCACAAAGGGCCCCCACCCCACACGATGACTAATGATTCTACCCATGCAGATATCCTGTTCAATCCAAAGAACTCTAAACTGCAGCACTACCATCACCACCCCTGGCAGCAAGGCTTTCCTTTCCTCGTACGCTGCCCACCCAGCAACAGTGCTGGAGATGATCAAATTAAAGTCCGAGACTTCTAGACTGCAGCACCTTCACCAGCAGCTGCAGCAGCAAGGCTTTCCTCGTACGCCGCCCACCCAGCCTCGCGATACTTCCTGGCAGCTTCCAGAGGGTCAGCCGCCTTGATGATTCCTCGGCCCACTATGATGATGTCGGACCCCCGCTGCTTGATCACCTGGAGGTGGAGAGCGGTTGAGAGAGGTAAGAGGGGGTCAGGGGGCACAGCACATGAGGTGGAAGGGCGCAGAGGGGGTGAGCTCCCTTAATGACTCCCCGGCCCACTATGATGCTGTCGGACCCCCGCTGCTTCATCACCTGGGGGTGGAGAGCGGTTGAGTTGGGCATGAGGCGGGTGGGGGGGTTGCAAGGGAAGAATGAGATCCACCAATGGGTCCCACCCACTATGATGATGCCGCAGCAGCCCTGCTGCTTGATCAGTCACCTTAGTTTGCAAGGAGGGGACCAGGTTGAGTGGGTTCGGGCAGCAAGGATGAGTACCAAGAAGAAAGAGCATCTCTTAAGAACATCAAAGAATTAATGCCATAACCCCACACCCCTACTGGCCACCCTCTTTCACAGCATCAACTGCACCACCGTTCAATCAACTTACCGAGTCTGGAGTGTTGTATTGCTGACCCAGCGCGTCCCCACCAGCAGCCAGCTGCACACCTGGTGTCATGTGCACCAACGTATCCCACACCCCCGCTGCCTCTTCTTCCCTCCACACCTCTGCACGACAGTAAAAGCATCCCCCTCTCCCTTCAACTCACCGCGTCTGGAGTGTTGTACTGGTGGCCCAGAGCATCCCCCCCAGCAGCCAGCTGCACGCCTGGCGTCCCAACGTATCCCACACCCCCGCTGCCTCCGCTTCTTACAACAACGAACCCATTGCACTCTCACGTTCATAACTCGTGCCAGCTTACAGCGTCTGGAGTGTTGTATTGCTGACCCAGCGCGTCCCCTCCAGCCGCCAGCTGCACGCCCGGCGTCATGTGCACCAGCGTATCCCACACCCCTGCCGCCTCCGCCTCCCTCACAGCCGCCGCCAGCTCCTCACACGCGCCACCAGCAGCAGCGGCGGCAGCGGCAGTGGCACCACTACGCCAGCCTCCAGGTTGGATGGAGATGAAGCCAATGACATAATCCGGGTCGGTAAGCGCCATTCTCAGCGTGGCGGCGGTGTAGGTGGAGTGGGCGAGGGTGCCTGCTGAGCTCATCTCCGCCAGGAGGAGGAGGGACCCGCCCTGCCAGAGAAGGGCAAGGACAGAGCGCACAGGGCAAGGGAAGGAGGTGGGTCAGCAGCAGAAGGATCAGCAGCAGCAGCAGCAGCAGCGGCAGTGGCACCGGCGCGCCAACCCCCCGGGTGGATGGAGATGAAGCCGATGAAGTAGTCCGGGTCGGTGAGCGCAGCGTGGCTGCCGTGTAGGTGGAGTGGGCTAGTGTGCCTGCTGAACTCATTTCCGCAAGGAGCAGGAGGGACCCGCCCTGATGGAGGGTGACGGGGAGGAGAAAGTATACGCTTTCGGAATCGCACCCCTAGCTTCTAGTTGGAAGAAACCCCATCCCACCTCACTCCACCCCACCACACCCCACCCTACCCATAGCTTCTGCTGGAATCTTTGGATGAAGCCTGGCCCCATGACACCCTTACATGTAAGCTTACCCCACCCCACCCTGTTGCACCGCACCCCAACCCGATCCACCGCTCTCCATCCCGCCATACCTTCTGCTTGAGCCCCTGGATGATGCCTGGCCCCGGCACGCCATGTGCATTGATGATGTCAGCCCATTCGGAGATCTTGTAGACGCCCCTGCGAGCAACGAGGGGAAGCGGGCGTGAGAGAACAAGGGTGCGAGTGAGTGAGTGTGAGGGAGAGGGGCACACATGATGCCTAACTCGGGCACGCCATGCGCGTTGATGATATAAGCCCATTCCGAGATCTTGTAGACGCCCCTGGGAGCAGCAGGCGGAGAGTGAAAATGAGCGTGAGAATGAGAGTGAAAATGAGCGTGAGAATGAGAGTGAGAACGAGTGAGAGTGCGAGAGAGAGAGAGAGAGAGAGAAAAGAGTGAGAGTGAGGGTGCACGCAAGAAGAGTGACAATGGTAGTGGCATGGATAGAAATTGGGTCGATGACTGTGGGGCCTTTATCTAGGAGAGGTGACTTTTGAGTCGACTCAAAAGTCACCACGCAAGATAAGTGACAATAGTAGCGGCACGGATGGAAACTGGGTTGATGCCTGAGGGGCCTTTTTCTAGGCGCCTCAATATGTGGGATGATGCATGTGGATGCTTTTTACAGGCGTGAAAATAAACGACACGAGGTGAAGGGGAAGAGAATGGGAGAGAGAAGGACATGTACAAAACCCCACCATGTAACCACACTCACCCGCCGTACTGCATGGTAACCGTGTTACCAATGTCAGCAAACTTGCGGTCCTCAAACACCAGGAAGTCCAGCCGCGTGGCGATCTGCATCAGAGGAGCAGAGTAAGGCGGGAGCAAAGCGGTACGAACACATGAAGGGAAGGAGGGAAGAGGGCAGAGGAGGTGAGTAACTGGGTTTGCCCACTTGTGGCCCTCAAACACCAGGAAGTCCAGCCGCGTGGCGATCTGCAGCAGGAAACGGGAGAGAGGGCGAGAGAGAGGTACTTAGAGGATGGTGCTCCAAAAGACCAGGCAGACAGTGATGAAACAACGGTGAAATTAAATACCTATGACAAAATACACACAATTGCTCGTCATCGCACGCAGCCGCTCCTCGCCACTCAGCACCACACAGACAAACAGCCACGCACCACCACACGGCACCACACACACGGCACCACACACACGGCACCACACACACGGCACCACACACACGGCACCACACGGCACTGCAGAGCACCACTCACTCACCTCGCGGATGCGCTTGCCGAACTCGGGAGTGAAGTCCGGGAGAATGTCCACGTGCGTCTTGAGCACACAAATCTCCGACCCGATCTGTTCGAGGGGTTTTGGGTACAAGCGGGATAAGGGAGCAACGCGCATTGGGGGGTTAGACACGAGAATGGCAGCAGGGAAAAGGGCCACGGGAGAATGTCCACGTGGGTCTTGGGAACGCAAATCACCGACCCAATCTGAGCATAGGGTTTTGAGGAAAAGCATGGGGTTTTAGAGGGGCAAAGCAAGCAGGGTTTAAGGTGTAGACATGCGGGCCATGGAAGAATGTCCACGTGCGCCTTGAGCTCGCAGATCTCTCATCCGATCCGCGGGCTGCGGTGGAAGAAACGGGTATGGTTGGGACGTCAGGGTTGAGGGTTTTGGACGGCAGAGTTTGGGGTTCTGAGAGAATGGAAATAGGGTTTCGAAATTGAAATATTGGCTGGAACAGAATGGGCGTGTGAGACGAGGGGAGACGGAGGGAAAGGGGGAATGAAAGGAGGGGCTTCGCCTGTGTGCTGAGGCTGTAACCCAGACCCTATGACTATGGACATCGTTTAGCAGTCTTAAAAAACCTATGGCCATGCTTGCAAGCGCAAGGTATTGATACATTCGTCATCTTGTTCCTTTCACCTTTCGCTCCCCCTTCCTCACCATCCCCCACCATCCCCTCCTCCCTCCCAACGTTCCGCTCGCCCCGTTCCCCCCCCCACCCCGCCTGCTCACCGTTTCCGCCAGCTTGAGCAGCTCTTCCGCCGACTCCACGTCAGCAGCCACTGACAGGTTTGTCTTTTTCCGCTCCATGATCTCCCACAGCCGCCGCCCCACCTCGTTCTTCGCCAGGGCCGCGCGAGCGGCGTACGACTTTCGCGAAGAGGCGGCGGTTACAGGGGCAACCGTTACAGCGGGCGCGGGGGCGGCGGCGGGAGCAGCGGCGGGGTTTGCGGTTTGGTTTTCCGCGATGAATTTGGTCACGGATTCTGCCACATCATTGGTCAGCTTGCCGTGCTTGACCAATGCCGTGACGACATGTGTCAGAGTCAGCGCCGCGTGGAGGCGCAGCCCACGCGCCGCCAGATGCGCAGCGCCGCCTTGTTCCCTATCGATAAGGACAACCACGTCAGTTACTTTCAACCCAACCTCGTTAAGCGGTTCTACAGTTTCCATAACGGATGCTCCGCTTGTAACGAGGTCCTCAATAACGAGGCAATGCTGGCCGGTCTCGAAGGCCCCTTCGATGGCCTTCCTTGTTCCGTACCCTTTCACCTCCTTCCTTCGCATGACCATCGGCACGTTTCGCGAGAGCGAAATGGCCGTGGCGATGGGTAACGCGGTGTACGGGACTCCGCAGACGTTGTCGAATTTCGCAGCGGCATCGGATTCGCCGACAACCGACGGGCACACGAGCGCCCACATCGCGTCGGCCACCTGCTGCAGCAGCTTCGGATACGATACGATCACGCGCAGATCAATGTAAATCGGCGACCATATTCCGCTCTTAAGCTTGAAACTGCCGAATTTCACAGCCTCGACTTCGTGCAAGGCCAGCACGAGCGCATCGGACGGATCAGCCATTGGCGGAATCGGGCAAGAGGGGATTTCGACGAGATCGGACGGTCGAGATTCTTCGCTGGCGACGAAAGATTGGCTCGACGCCCTGGCCGCGGGAGTGACGTTTGCGGAACGGTTTTTCCGCGCGTGGGCGGATGGGGATTGCGCGAACGGGGCTAGCTGTTCCGCGGGGTGCGCTTTCCGCAATGCGGATGTTCCGCGGGAAATAGGGCTAGCGCGCGGAGGAGAGGGGCACCGCGCGAACGCAGGGGAGCGGGACCCGGGGTCAGCAATAGAAGAGGAAGAGGCGCTACTTCTCGAAGTGAAGGGGCGCGAGCTTGGGGGAAGAGAAGCCATGAACTGAAAGCTAGAAATATGGCTTGGGCGCCATTGAATAGGGTGGGAGCGCAGGCGCAGAAAGGGCAGAACGAGGGGCAGGTGTGGCCTGGCGGGGGACAGGGTCTTGGGATGGGGATTTGAAATTTGAGTAATAGACTGTGGTGGGGTGCGGTAATGCTGGGTGACTCACAATCCCCTGCTGGCATGAGATTCCAGGCCAGCACATGCCAAGCTCGTTACAAGAATGACTCGATAAGAATTTAAAGCACAAATTCTGTCGTAGAACCAGATAGGAAATGGAGAGCAATTTCAAGCCAACTGGTTTAAACTTCAAATTCATTCTCTAGCAACTCCGTTCAGCTGCCATCACCATTTGAATCTCATTTCTCTTTCCTTCACGCTATTTGAGACTCAACCTTCGCAATCATTGGAACTTGCCGTTTTCCTACCCTATTCACTGTATTCTCCCTCCAAGTCTCCCTTCCCATCACCACTACGGTATGCCTAGAACAACACTTCCCACACACTTGGAACCAGGCCATGCCAACCCCTCCTCCCAGTAATCCCACCAACACCATTTCCTCCCAAACCAGCATAAAAAACCCTGCCAAAAATAATGGACCGTATCATGGAAAAGAATAGTGCACCTGGAAAACTGCCCAGAAACCAAGTGTGGCCATGCTGACTTGCTCATTCACTCACTCCTGTGCTCATCCTCACCACCTGATTCTCCCCCTTCTCCCTCCCCACCGCCACCTCCCACCTCACCCTCCCCACCCCCGCAGTGCCCATGACAGTGCTTTCCATGTCCATGCCTGTGCCGTCTTCTCCTCCTCCCACTGCTCCCGCCTTCACCATTCCCCTCTGATCCTATCGGTCTAGAAGAGGAGGAAGGAGCCGAACCATGTGCATCTGCTGCTCCTTGTCTCGGCCCCCCTACACTCCCTGACTTGCCAGCATCTGAATTTGCCTCTCCCATGTCCCTTGCATCGTCCCGCCCTCTTCCCGCCCCATTATTGCCACCATCGCTGTTGTCACTCTCGCTGTCACTGCTACTGCTGCTGCTACTGCTGCTCTCGCCGAAGGGCCGCTGCTTGTGGAAAATGCAGCACTCTATATTGGGGACGACGGGATGTGGGGTGCAGGGTACATATATATAGAAAGGTTCAAGCTGGTTTCACGAACTCTCAACAACAGCCTGTAGCTTGTAGAAAACGAAGGGCTCTATACAGAGGTTTGGCAGAGTGAGGAAGGAACATAACAGAGGTAGGTAGAGGAAGAAGAGTCCGAATTGGAAGAAAGAGCAAGCTAGACCGCCTCACATTGCACCCCGCATATGCTGCACAGAAAGACAAACACTCACTCTTGGACCCTTTTTTTGTTCAGATGCTCGTGTTACACTGTTCCCTCCCTCCACTGCACTCTCCCCTGCAAAGTTTGAATCGACTCATACCACATGATGCACGGATGCATACGGTGCATGAGTAGAGACGCACTCACTCTTTGATTTCTTCTTGTTGAGATGCTCGTTGTCCACTGTTCCCTCCCTCCACTGCACTCTCCGTCGGGGTGCCAACCGGATCACCACCTGATCCACCACGGCTGCTTGGACGGCCCAGATTCAACGAGCAACAAATGCAAGGGAAGACAATAGGTCGCAATCAGAAGCCAAAACTGGATATGTTGTGGCAATTGGAGCACCAGTGGATAAACTTACCTGATCTGGACGGTGGGGATTGACGCGTGGTTGCAACACAATGAGATGGGTAAGGAGCACGGGCGAGCACAAAAGCTCAAAGCATGTACCCAGGAGAAGCAGTTGAACGCACAAGGAGACAGAAAAGGGTAACAGCCCACAACAACTTCCAGCCAACTAGGTTTGGGTTCAAAGGTTGCACAATCCACCCTAGACGCTAGCTGAAAGAAGATTTGATTGGGACGCAACCAGCTAGGTTGGAAAGTTGTACATTCCATTCCAGCCTAGGTGCTAGGAAAAACAAGCAAGATGCCGCACCGCAGGGAGTGGGGAAGATGAGAAAGGGTTCGACAGATGGCTCATAACACAAACAATACAAGGTTAGAAAGGTTCGAGGTGCGGGTTGAACATGTGTACAGGCAACCGCGATGGGGCCAAAGTCGAGTCCACTCACACAACAGACAGCTTTCTCAGGCACCTCAGAAACAGAATGCTCATAACTGTAACCGCAGCAAGCGGCCGGTCTTTACCAGCTTGCCACGTTACTGTGGCTTTTGATATGACTCAAAAAGGCATGCTCATATCATAACTGCAACTGCGGTAACCGGTCCTTACATGCTTGCCCCGTTACTGTAACCGCAAATGCGTTCCTCGTAGCCTTTTCACTCTCCTCCTAACTTAAAAGACAAACACACGGCAGAAGGTCGTTACCTTCTCGCTCCGTAACCGTAACCGCAGTGGAGGCGTTGCTGACTACCCCTCCGACTCGTCATGCTGCTAGTCTCGCGACAGATTTGCGACTTCTCAAAAGCGGGCATTTGCTTGCTCCATGACTGTAACCGCAGTAGCATAGCTAGTAGCCGTTGAATCGACACAAAAGACCCGGCGGGAGATGGTTACCTGTTTGCTCCGTGATTGTAACCGAAGTTGCGTTCCTCGTAGCCGTTTGGTTGGCCATGCTGCGTACTCCTCCTGGGATGCAGACCAGCGCGCAAGAATTATCGTGACGACGAGTCACGAGGAGAGCGGTGCGAAGGTGTTGCGACCTCGCGTCTTTGAGACGTCCCAAGAGTCCTTCCGACTCGGAAACACAGACCAGATCAGCAAAGTATTGCCACTTTGGATAATCGTGGCAATGAGACTCAGAGCGAGCGAGAGGTGACTCGACGTCGTGACTTTGAGACGTTCGAAAAGCTTCTTTGGAGCGAAAGCGAACGGGAAGAGTGGGGGAAACGGAAAATTCAGACGATCTGAAAGCTCAGCTTGAACGAGGTACAGACGGGACGGAAGGTGTGAGGGACCGAAAGACTTTGAGTGAACGAGTCTGAGAGCGAGCGGATGCGGAGGTGTCTAGCCGTCGTGAATTTGAGACGTTCTACGACTTCGAAACGTCTCAACAGTCCCTCGCGACGCGAGCTTAGAAGAATCAGCGAGAAGTTGAGAGCAAGAGCGAGCGTACGCGGAGATGTCTCGACGTCGCGACGAGAACGGATACTACGAACGATCAGAGAGAAGTTTTGCGTGCTCAGCCAATAGCTTAGTTAGTTAGAAGCACTTCGCCAAGTTGAAACAGCCGTTCGGGTCTGGTTCTAATCCGTAACTGCGACTACTAGAATCACCTATTTGTGATTTTTTTGGCCGTGTATCTCGGATTAGGGCGTGTCACCTCGGACTTTCAATGGGGCTTGTTCGAACAAACACCGGACTAAACCAAACTGTGTAATGTACTGTACCACAGCCAATCCCCAGAAATTCGAAAATCGAACAGCTGGTTACAACCCGAGGAGACACGCCCTTATAAGCAAAACTGACCGTGGGGTGGACAATTTGTACTCGTTGGAGAAAACCAAGGTATGTGTCAGTGTTGGGGCATTGTTCGACTCCAAGTCTACTGAATACACCCATACAGCTTACCAGTATGATCCTACATACCTAAAATATTTTGCTGGAGGACAAGACAAAGTAATACCGTATCACCCCGGATAAAAGCGCAGGCCTATGTTCAGCGCATGCGCTTATATCTGGAGCAATGCGCTTATGGCCGATCCTCAATTATATGCGCACCCCTTATAAAACCCTGATTTATTATAAGCGCATGTATAAGCATATTAAAAAAAACGGATTAAAACAGTAACGACTTCACGTTTTGCAGCAAGTCCACATCCACTTCTACTCTGTTCGACTCCCTCGAGGGCGGGCTCGCTCAGGAAAAGCGCAACGGTGCGAAGTTGACCTGACAGAGGGGCTCGGGAACAACTGTTGTCTGTGCGCTGCGAGTGAGCGACTGCAGGCCATTGGTCGTACACTGGGGCAAGCCTCTACGATGCGAACGAGCGACTGCAAGCTATTGGTTCATACCCTGGGCTGGGGCGAGCATGACACATTCCTATGCGAAAGTGACGTGTCCTTGCCCTTGTGCACCGGCAGAGAATCGCCATCGCGCGATTCTGATTCAGAACGCTCCACACATTTCGATTTGAATGAGATTGCTGTCAAATTATAATGTTGTGTAGGCTATATTGGGGAAGCCTATATGGGGTACACATTTCCAGGGTTGCATATTTGTATCACTTTCGTTCCTTAGTCAATCATTCTCGTTTCAGTTTTCTCATGGTATCGAGCAGGTCCCCTAGTGGGAACTGTGCCTAGGGCCCACCACATCGATTTTTTTTTCCTGCCCGCAGCGCGCTCAGCCCGAGTCGCGCTCCTCTCTCTCACTGCGTCGCGCCGCCCTAGCGGCCCCGTCGCCCTAGCGGCCCCGTCGCCCTGGCGGCCCCATCGTCCTAGCGGCCCCGTCGCCTAGCCCTACGGCCCCGTCGCCTCGCCCTACGGCCCCGGCGCCGCCCTGTCCCGGCCCCGCCGCCCTTCGCTGCGGCCCCTGCCGCCCTTCGCTACGACCCCGCCGCCCTTCACTGCGGCCCCGCCGCCCTTCCCTAAGGCCCCGCCGCCCTTCGCTGCGGCCCCGCCACCCTTCGCTGCGGCCCCGCCGCCCTTTGCTGCGACCCCGCCGCCCTTCGCTGCAACCTCGCCGCCCTTCTCTGCGGCCCCGCCGCCCTTTGCTACGGCCCCGCCGCCCCTCTCGCTGCGGCCCCGCCGCCTACCTTGCGGCTCCGCCGCCCTTCGCTGCGGCCCCGCCGCCCCTCTCGCTGCGGCCCCGCCGCCTACCTTGCGGCTCTGCCGCCCTTCGCTGCGGCCCCGCTGCCCCTCTCGCTACGGCCCCGCCGCCCCTCTCGCTGCGGCCCCGCCGCCTACCTTGCGGCCCCGCCGCCTACCTTGCGGCCCCGCCGCCATTCGCTGCGGCCCCGCCGCCCTTCGCTGCGGCCCCGCCGCCCTTCACTGCGGCCCCGCCGCCCAACTGAGCCGCCCGAGCCGCCCGAGCCGCCCAAGCCGCCCGAGCCGTCCGTTCCGCCCGAGCCGCCCGAGCCGCCCGAACCGCCCGAGCCGCCCGAGCCGCCCGAGCCGCCCGAGCCGCCTGAGCCGCAGAGGAGCCGAGCCGCTGGTGCCGCCGAGCCGCAGTTGCTGCTGAGCCGCCCGAGTCGCCCGAGCCGCCGTGTTGACGTGCTGCTGTGCTGCCGAGCTGCCCGAACCGCCCTGTCTGGTGAGAGCAGCGCTTCTGTCACTGCACTGCCCCTGTCCTACAATTAGCACAGCTAGCCTACTGCTGTCATGGCCACCCCCAGTGTTCTCGCTTTTGACGCTGAGGGTCGGGCCATTGACTTCGAGGTCTGGGTAGATGACCTGCAGCTTTTCCTACAGTGCAATAGGGCAGACGGTCTCTCCCTCTTTGACCTCACCTCTTGAGCCTCCCCTGGCCCTGCTGCCAATGCCGACGCCACTGTTCGCTCCCAGTGGGCCACTCGCGATGCTGCTACACGTCTTGCTGTGCGTCGCCACCTGCCTACCACTAAGCGCGCACACTTTAGTCAGTACAAGAGTGCTCAGACCTTGTACGACGCGGTAGTTGCGCGCTACTCTTCCCCTGCCACTGCTGCACTGAGCCGCCTCATGCTGCCGTACCTCTTCCCTGACCTTGCTGCCTTTCCCACAGTCGCTGACCTCATTACGCACCTCCGCACTAGTGACACTCGCTACCGCGCTGCGCTTCCTGCTGAGTTCTGCGCCAAGAACCCCCCCCCCCATGTACATCACTCTCTATTATATAGTCACCCACCTCCCTGACTCCCTTCGTGTAGTCAGGGACCACTTCCTCTCGGTCTGTCCCACCACTCCCACTGTTGACCTCCTAGAGAAGGCCCTCCTAGCAGCGGAGAAGAGCATAGTCGCTGTAGGAGCCTCTCGTGGTGACCCTCGCACCCCCATCTTTGAGGGGTGTTCCCCTTCCTCCCTTCTGCCCTCTGTCGCCTCTGCTGCTGCGGCCGACCTTGTTGGTCTTGAGTCGGTCGGTGCGGCGCCTACCCCTAGCGGGAGACGCCGCTCTGGCAAGGGCAAAGGGGGCAAGGGCGCGGGTGGAGCTAGCGGGGGTGGCGGAGGTGGCGGTGGAGGCGGCGGAGGGAGTGGGGGTGGCGGTGGGAGTGGTGGCGGGGGGGGAGGTGTCGGTGGCAGCAGTGGAGGCGGAGGCGGCGGCGGTGCTAGCGGAGGCGGCGGTGGTGGCGGATGTGGAGGAGGCGGTGGTGGAGGAGGTGGCGGTGGTCGGGGTGGCGCTTCGCAGCGGAGCAGCCCTGTTGGTGGTCAGCGCCAGCAGCAGCAGCAGCGTTCTCGGGACATTCCCCCCCCCTCAGCAGCTCCGTGAGTGGTACGCGCAGCGTCAACGTGGTGGGGGTTTTTGGTCCGTGCACCAACGTCCTTCGCTCCAGCGACCGCGCGGGTGAGCAGTGTGGGGGTGCCCACCCCACCCAGCGCTGCTTTGGCCGCCTGACGGACGCTTGGCATCACCAGTTCCCGGACGCCACTGAGATCCCCCGCTGGGGAGAGCTGTCTAGGGCAGGTGTAGCTATCTTTGATCTTGACTTTGATGCTATTCTTGCTGCCTTGTATGCTGTGACTTATAGTGACAAGGGTGATTGTTACCGGTGTTTCCCGCCCGATCCGGGCATTGAGACTGCTTCTCTAGGTGCTGGTGAGGCTGCTGCTCTAGGTGCTAGTGCGGCTGTTGCTCTAGGTGCCAGTGCGTCTGCGTCGGCTTCGGCCTCCCTCACCTTCACACTTGACTCAGGGGCTTCTCGCTCCTTCTTTCGAGACCGCACCACACTCACGCCGCTTGGTCGGCCGGTTGCAGTCTCCCTGGCACACCCCTCTGGGGGTCCTGTCCTCTCTCTCTTCTCCACTGTCCTCCCGTGTCCGGCTGCCCCCTCTGGCACCTTGTCTGGTCTTTACCTCCCCTCGTTCTCGTTGAACTTGGTGAGGGTGCTGACCTGCAGGATGCGGGGGTTCACCAGTTTACTCCTGCGAGTCAGCGGGTGACCCACTACTCGGACGCTCGCACAGGCCGGCACCTGGCCACGTTTACGCGTCGCCCGGGGTCGAGCCTCTACACCCTGACCACCGAGTCTCCTCCTGTCTCTGCGTCTGGTCAGGTAGCTGCGTTGGGTCAGGTGTTTGCTGCAGCGTCCAGGTCTGGTCCTGAGTCTGCCCCCTGCTCGTGTCGCCTCCTGTCTCACGAGACTCTCTTGTGGCACCACCGTCTTGGTCACCCCTCCCTGCCTCGTCTCCGAGGCATGGCTTCCCGTGTCCTTGTCTCTGGTCTTCCCCGGTCCCTCCCTCCCCTTCCTTCGGGGCCTGGTCCTTCCTGTGTCCCCTGTGTCGAGGGGCGGCTACGGGCTGCTCCTCACTCCTCTCCGTTTCCCCCGACAGAGGCCCCGCTGCAGACGCTTCACATGGACGTGTGGGGCCCGGCCCGCGTCCGTGGACAGGGTCACGAGCGCTACTTTCTGCTGGTGGTTGACGACTATTCGCGTTACACCACAGTCTTCCCCTTGCGCAGCAAGGGGGATGTCACTG